TAGATTCCCAAAACATGCCAAAGAAAATCATACTACAATGTGGGAATGTATTCATGTTGAAATGACAAACAGCAATTTGAGGACCCAGATTGTTGGGGGCAATATGCTGACTCTCTGTAAACCGCTTAGAGAGGCCTGAAAGGCCTATGAAGCGGTATATAAGTCTACTGCTATTGCTATTGCTAAACAAGGAGCAGAGATATTGAGCAGTACGGAGAACCGGCAAATCGCTGGCTAGTCCCAGGGTGGGGGAGAGAATGGGGATTTTGCAGTATCCTTCCCACTGGAGTGGGGAGGGAAGGGAGATTTTGCAGTAACGCCCACAGAACCGATAGTAAAAAAAAGAAATTGAATTTCACCACTAGCGTAGATGATTTCTGGGATAGGACTTAATCCACCATTGCGTTTTCAGAGAGACACAAAGAAGAATCTAACATGATTTGAGTAGCTTTGGAACTTAGCAACTAGCCTTGGTCTTCTCCAGCCTAGAAGGCCTCAGTTGAATGGACTTCGGCTCCCAGAATCCTTTGCTCAGCAGGGTCATCGCTGAATCTTCTGGGAGCCCTAGCCCACCTCTTAGAAGGTTCCAGAGTTGAGGAACCCCAGCCCAAAAGATCTCCTCCCATTTCCTGGATGCTCCATTAACCGAATCTTCTAATGTTTGGTTCCAGAAGGACCTCCATCCAACTATGGCCTACTGTGGACCATCCTGTGCCATCCCATCCTTGTCTTCCAGCCCCACTGTTGGATTTGGCTCAGCTGGTGCTGGTGGTCTTGGCTACGGGATTTTGCCCTACAACGCTGCGGCCAGCGCACTGGCCGAATCTTCCGGCAGCCTGGGCACCTTGGCCGGAGTCATCCCTTCCTGCATCAACCAGATCCCACCATCTGAGGTGGTCTTGCAACCCCCTTCCTGTGTGGTCACCATCCCTGGTCCCATCCTCTCCGCCAGCTGTGAGCCCACTGCGGTTGGAGGCAACGCTCCATGCGCCATCTCCGGTTCTGGAATCGTAGGGGGCAACATCTACGGAAACCCTCTTTTGGGAAACCTGGGTTTAGGGCCGAGCAGGGGCACGTTACTGGGCAGGAAATCCCTTCTGGGAAGCCGTGGGAATATCTGTCTGTAGGTCTGTCCCCTTGCGAAGCCTGTCCTCCTGGAACGAGCACAAATGAGCCAAGAGAAGATCTGTCCTCAAGTCTTTGGACTTTGGGCGAGAAAGGTTGAGCTTCTGGGACCAACTGTGAAGACACCCGCTTCTTCTCCAACTTTGTCCTAATTTCCCTCTTTCTGTTTTCCCCGGAGCCAAAGGGAAGTTCTAAGCAGTATTTATATGTGTGTCCCTTTTGTCCTCGTCCTTGTGGGTCTGTGTTGTCATTGATCTGCATCTTTTTAGAGAATTGTCTGTCAAATCCTTCCTGCATCCCTAAATAAAGTTCAAAACTGCACTTTAAGCTTTTTGCCAAAATATACTTTTTTATTTTCCACTTTCATAACACCTAATCACATGTATACTATTCCATAGCCAATATTCTATTGTATTAAGTAGTAATTACATCGGTTCCTCTTGCCATCAATGCCCAGAAAGAT